GAGATGTGAAATTCATTACGATCGGAGGCGGGGGCGCCTCTCTTCCCCGTCTCCTTAATTAAATCAGCGCCGCGTTCGAGATCGGAATTACTTTCGCCGCGGATTTCGACTCCCAAGGCGAATTCCCGACCGGAAAAAAGTCGAACGTGCGCCGGAACAAAAGCAAGACCGGCTATTGATATTATTAATTGCGACCTAAACGTTGTGGACGAGAATCCAGGGGGATGTTTCTTCTCAGAGTCGTGCGAATGGTCGCGGAACGGTCGATGCCGCGAAATCGGCGCGTACAAACAACGCTTTTTTTTCTAAAGGCAAATGGACACTGTTCCATTTATACGTGGCGGAGGAAAAACTGTTATGGTCGCGGCGTAACGCTGTCCAAACAAGGATCGCCGGCAGGTGCATTAAAACGCGGGCACGCTCCTGGCCAGGGAAGGAGAGGTTGGCCGTTCCCTTATTTACTCGTGCGCCGGGGCTGGCCACTTAGTATTGTGATACGGTCGGGGCAGATAAAAAGCACCGGCCAAAAGGGTAGGCGAACGGTTCAAAGGGCGAAGTTTAAACACGTATGGCGTACGCTCCGAGCCAGCGACAAATGAGTATCACCCATCGCGGCTTCCCGCGAGACAGAGAAACGTGATTCCACAAAATGGTTCTGTCCATTCTTCCCATCTGTGTTTTTATGCATTTCGCAATTTCGTTTATAAATTTCGTGTTTCTCGGACACACAAATTTAAACGCCGTCTCTGGTAAAGTTATTATATCTTGAATTAAATATTTTAAATAGTAATAAAATTAAGAACAGTGATTCGATTTTTATTGTTTGTGACTCTATTTGCATATTTAATTGTATGATTATTCTAACGTAAACTACATTGTATTCCCTTGCTCTAATAAATTACAGTGTAAATTGCGTTGCATTTCGAAAATTAAATTTCTGCAGCTTTTCGAAAAAGTGCGAGTGCTGAAATTGGAATAAGGATCGTATTGGATTTGGAAGTTTTTAACACCCGGAAATGGAGAGAATGAAATTCGCCCTTTAATGCATTAAAGCCGAGTCCATGCATCAACGTTCCATGTCGCGCCTCACGCTAGTGTAGAAGTTGAATTTTTCGTTTCGGACCTCATATGTATGATGCCACCATTAATCCGACGGAGAACATCGAATGGTCGGATGAATTATTCATACCGTGTCCCAGTTCCATTTCGTACGCATGTTAATAAATACCCTTACAATAGGCAAATATCCGACGCCCAAGTCGAATCATCCTTCTGACTCATCGCACATTTTTCACTACGTATTCGACTCACGCAGATATACCAATCGAAATCCTTAACACTTTGTCACCCGTCTGATTCCATTTGGAGCTATCAATCTTCTCAGAAGAAAATTTCTCAAGAACATAGGAAGTATGTATGTATTTATTTGTAATCTAATATACGTATGAATCAATTTTAAATTAATTATCTACAGAAACAATAATAAATAGACACTAGTGCTAATTTCTGTTCTTAATATTCGTTAGAGAATGCATTCTTAAATTAAACTTTTATTTTTGTTTTAAGAAATGGAATTATATTTATTTCAGCAATCTTTCTCATTAAATTTGTAATGTTCTATTATTGCATTTCAATGCAGATTTAATTTTGATGCATACTTGATTCTCCTTTAAATTATTTACTTGCTATTACGTCATCTTCACAAACCTAGAGTCCATACGACGTTCGAATAGAACCTTAGCTATTATTAAAGCAAACCGTGACTGTAGTGTTGACTCGGCAATGCGGTCCAATCCGGGCTAAGTGCGTGGAGATTTATGTAAATTCGGGCGTCAACGCGATCGTTCGATAAATCTCGATAATCTGGCCGGATAGTTCGCGCCTGTTCGGAATACACGGTACTCAGATAAGTCACGTAAACAGTATCGGAAAGCTTTGACTTGACCCGGACTCTAATCCTTATCATCCCGTGGCTACACGAGTCTCAGATCGCTCTTTTCTTTCCAACTTATACAAAATTCCGTCAGCTAATTGAAAATTCCGAGAGTGTGATTTATGCCGGACGCTTTGTCGGCCTCGGACATTAAATCATGTCGCGTTTCGGTTATATGATAATACATACGCAGTAACTATAGGGTGGGTCGACGAGAAACGTTATCGCATAGTCATAATCAATTAATCTTACTATTTTTAATTATAGAATATTTTGAATAGATTTATTGTTTCGTATATAATATACAAAATTAGAATACAACATTCTACAATATAATTTAATATAGAATGTTGAAATGATAATATTCTAACATGTTAAAATGCATAAGATCATGGAATGAGAAATAATTAACTTCGACACACTCGTTTATCGGCTCACTCTATGTATGTCTCTTATCTACTAACTGGAAACCAATTTCGATTTCAGTTTCGAAACACGGCTTTTCGAAAGCGGCCGAGGCTTGCCAGTAATTGATAATACAGCGGCGAGTGATAATTCGGTCGCGTTATTAACCCAGTTTGAAATATAGACGCGGAAATTATATAGCAGCGGCGCATAAATTTACCAACACCAGTTCACCGTGGACAGATAGTAGATTCACGTACCACAGCATGTGGATAGAAATTGTTGCTCAGAATTACGAGTTGTTGATTATAGGAAAACAGTTCCTGTGATTAAAAGCGTTCTATCTATGATTAACAGAATCTCCCTTTCATATCAAATTCTTAGAAGAACTTCAGATTTCCATATTATACATATATTCATGTATTAAGGCACAATAACAGCATTATATTAAATACTTGAAATATAAAATAGTTCCAACTATTTAATCAATATCATACTTGATAAAAAATTCTTTGCTCATTCAAGATTAAGTGAAAATGTACAAGATTTGTTCTTTACGATCTGCACTAATTTTGACATCGTATGTACGAACAGCCGCGCACGTGCAATTACCGCGTGAGCAATAGGGTGCATGCACGGCACGGTGGCGCGGGCACGTAAGTACATACGTAGTGCGTACACATAGAAATGCGGTCGCGTTAATATTAATTGAGAATCGGCGCTCGATGGATCGCATCAATTATGAGCGACGCGCAAGTAACGCGCGGCGAACAATTGAACGGCGGGTCGCGCGCGCGTAAATTCGTTTTCGGCGTCGTGCGCGCGCGTGATAAATAACGCACCGGGTAATTAACGGAGGATGGACCAAACGTTTATCGGTCTGCGCAGACGCCTTTATCGCGACCACCGACGCAACATTACGCGTACAAAGCTCGTTACGGGTATAACGTACGACTCCGTGTTAAGGTGTGTCCGCTCCTATCATTATAATCATAGTATTTTCACATAATTATTATATTATTCTGTATGATAGAAGTAATCGTTTATTTCATGCCTTTGGGACTTGAAAGTGGTGTTACATTTGATGGTATAACTTTTTCCTTTGTCATCACGTGATCTCCATATTATTTTATATATTATTTGTATAAATCACTTTGCTAAGACATTTTTCATGGAAGTGTCGTTGTTACAATTTTACAAAAACAATAGACAATTCGATATAGTTTATGTCGACTGAAAACGCGTTACTAGATCCAATGAAAAACGCAGGAGCAAACGAGGGATTCGCTTTTTAATCCCCGATCGACCGCAGAGCGGAGGAGCTTATGGAAACCATGCGGCCGGGTTTGAAAGCGAAACGGTAGCGCTGCGCTTGTCTCGCGCGAGCATCCACCGGCCATCGATCACGGGTCTCGCACGAAACACGGTGCGGCGCGGCACGAACTGCGTGGCGCGATCGAGCAAAAATTTACGGCGTAACGCGAAAATCGTTTCGCAGTTTGTCAGCCCGTGCCCGGGCCTTCCGTCGGTGCATGGGTTCACGTGGCATAAAATATGAACCGGCGCCCGTATATAAAGAGTCATCGCGAAACGAGAACTTTCAGAGTATTTCAGAGTACATAAGTATGTATAGATAGTATCGTGAATATCATATGTGCAATTCATCTTTGTAGAATTTCAATCAGTTTTTCTTATTAAATCCAAAATTATCGAAATTTAAGAATTTTTATTTTATGTGATTCTTAAAAACCAAGCATGTTGTCAGATACTAACTTTTATTAATAATGTTTACTGTAGAAGAAGTACTAATTGGATTTTATGCATGAAGGGTACATTGTCATTCTTACTTTCGTTGCTCTAACAATAACAGCTGGATTAACATTTCATCGCTTATAGAGAACGCGGATTATGAAGATCGATCGATTTCCACTTATCGCAAAAGCTCACACGCTGACCCACTGCACGCTTTCGTTGCACTCTGTACACCCTCGCACATAATTCTTAGCACACATCGTAAAACATAGAGTTAAACCGTAAGAGTATGAGGAAAGAAACTAGAACTTGTTAATATTTTTATGAATGAGCTTGCGAGCTTCAATATTTAGACTTTGTACATAAAATTGTTTAAGCATTTTCTTTTATTAATTGTAGAATTGCTGTCATTTCATTGTATTTTTTAATAGACAAAGTGTTCGTTAAGAAAACCGTAAGATTTTTGAACGGAGTTGTGCATAGAACTCTTTGGCTATAGCGATGGATCGCAAGAGTTTATGCATTACTCGCTTTCTATGACTCGTTATATGGCGCTGACATAAGTTTCATGAAGAAAAAGTTGCATGAAGTTTGTGATAGTACTACGGTAGTGATCGATCTTTCAACAACTTATCTGTATGCTAATTAACCTTACATGCAACATATACGATCGTGACTTAAAGTTAAATGTGGTCATTCTAAATATTTCAAATTCTGTATTAAATTATGTATGCATTAGCTGCATACAGACATTCCAAACTTTATTTTAAATAAATATACACAATGCTGCAACAGACATTCCAAACTTTATTTTAAACAAAATTTAATTATGTCAAAGTACTAGCAATAAAATTCTGTTTGAAAATATTTATTCTTTTATCTGATTTACAATTTGTTAATTGAAGTTGGACAAATTCTCTTGCTTTTATTATCAAAAATAACGTCACATTTATACTTTTTCTAAAAAAAGAGGATCCATTCTAGCAGCGTTTACTGGTTGATGCTACGTGAAGATATTTCTCGGTGTTCGTATCAAAGGCGAACAACAAATCAAACGGCGGATAGTCGCAATCGTACTCGGTTGACCGTTGACTCCGGATCGATATTCGAAGCACGCCTTACGTAGCCGACACTTACGAGTATAGCGAGGGGTTTCGATACGTTCCCACCGCAAGAAATCTATAATTTCCTCTAAACACCCGCCAGCGGACGGACATCAAACGTTGCCCCGTACATGGGACCAGTCGAAGTTGCCAATGAGCTCTTTCTTCTGGTCAGACCCTTGTGAAATTCTTCACTCTGCCTGTTCGCCAATGATCTGAAAAAGCGAACGCCTTTAGGTGTGCCAATTGAACGAACAATTTTCTTTATTGTAGAAATAGTGGAACTTGATAAAATATTTATTCGATTTCTGTGCAATTTTATTTGATTATATATTTAAATGCTAATATTTAATGAACATTTAAATGGTTATAAAAATTCCTCATTTCGTATATCTGTCGAAATATTCCAAACACATATCATCAATATACCTAGTTAAATACATATGTGAACGAGAAACTATGTACACGGTCTCAAAAAGTTTCGCTTCCCGTTCACGTGTGTTTATAATGCGTTAAACGCTTCTTCGTGGAAGATTAGTCAGTGCGGTTAGTCATGCGTCAAGTTCATGAATAAGTATGTAAGTACAAATTCGAAGACCTGGGTACGAAAGTGTTTCACAGAATTGCCTTCTATGTGAGCTGTTTCTCTAAGTCCTCTGAATCAAACGTACGAGGTTCTCATAGAAAATGACTAACTGTAATCACTACTTGATTAACTTTTCATATATAAATAGAGTACATAAATAAATTGTATCTATTCACGAAATACAGTAAATACATAGATTTGAATTATTCTATGAAGTAAAATAAATCACAAGAAATTTCCTAAAACCCTAATTTGGTCGAACATCATCGGCACTGAGTTTATGTCTGCGTAATTCGGATCGCTTTTGGCTTCCGTGCAAAACACATTCCTGCGAGGATTCCGAATCGTCGAAACGTCCGAGTGAAAGACTGTTTTACGACCTCGTCTGGCGGTATAAAAATCACAGGCGGAGCGCATCTGCGCCGGGGTGGCTCATTAATTCATATATCCCGATGCCATTTTACGAGCCGATTTTACAGGGGACGAACGCGTACGGAATGCGTCTCCATATGAGTTCATGAAGTGATCTTGAACTGTGACAACTGTCGTATTAATATTATCATAATAAAATGACGACGCTTTTTCCTATTAGGAAATCTTATAATCTCGAGTTTTATTGAATGCTCCCTTGTCTCTCTAATCATTTAAAAGAGATTCAACATCTTTTTGATTGTTTATTACATTTTTTATTGAAAATTAATGTTTATGGCCATAATACAAATATTGCTCGACTAAAACTAAAGCCACTTCCGTCAGATAATCACCAAAGTGCAATTGACAGAAAATAACGAAAAGAAAATAATTGTATACACTTTTCCACAAAAAATTTCAATGCTACTTTTTGACCAGAACGTGTTTGGTCAGCGGCCACTTAGCTTAATGCTTTTTCGCATGGTCCTAATTCAGAAAGTTTCTTGTCGCGCTCACCGGCTCCTTTTGAACCGAGGGAACCGGTTCTCCAGGGGCGTGCAGCGTCATGCGTCAGTCGGGGAACAAGTGCGTGCGTGAGTGCACGCGTGCGCGGACGCGACGTCCTTCCGAAGGCGCGTAAGTCGGACCCGGGGATAATTGGCCGCCCCTGGTCATCGATTTGTATGTACCACCTGCTCCTCTCCCGCATTGCTCGCCCGTCGAACGTTACGCCGCGCTGGTATTTACTCCTGATCTCGTTAAATGGTACCTAGCAGAAGGTGCCATGCTGGTTCCCGTGAGAAAACTCCGAGAACGAGACCCGGAACGCGTTCCACCTGACGATTGCCGATGTTTGTTCTATAAAATGCTTCCTGTTAAAGAAAGACCAGAAATATCAGAAACATATTAATTTGAGAATGATTATTAGTACTCTTTAGCTGTTAAAAATGTTGAGTTACAGTGGCAGATTGTATCAAATTAATTTTTTAATATTTAGAAGAGATGTGTAACTTTATTTGTGATATAGTCAATTATATTATTTAATGGAATATTTTATTATTACAGTTTTTGTATAAATTTAGAGTTTATAAAATTGTTCGACC